TTTTTTTTTTTTTTTCACGCCAAAACGACGTCGTTTCGGGAGGACGAAATTGGGAACAGTACTTTTCAAAGTGGCTCTTTTATTTAGTAGTGAAATGGTAGCATTGGCTTTTATACCTTTTTCCAGGTGATTACACAAATTGGGCTATTCAAAATTGGGCTTTATCCATTTGAATTACATGAACCCAACTTCAAATTGGTATGAAGACGCATAGAAGCCCAAGATGTTTCATATTTTTTAGGAAATTGACACAAATAATACCCTTATGCTTATAAGTTTTTTATTATTCTTTTTCTAGATTTTGATCTTAACCTCTTTTTGAGTTGTTAGCACCTTGTGAATGGAGAAAACATAGCACTTGCTACACTTCGTTTGATGCACTTCACATGCAGGTCTTGGCAATTTCAACACAAAATTTGACACGAATTGAAGAACCAGATTTAACTTACCTCACTCGACCAACTTGTGCCCCTAAGTTCATGCCCACATAACATGGTCTTTGTATTTTCCTATGTCTAAAATAAATATTCAAAATGATATAAATATTCAAAATGATAAGTGCAAAGGTCTTTTTTCAAATATACTAGTAGAAAATGCTCATGCTTCTCTCCGAAGATAAGGAAACTTTCCCCTAGTTGCAACAACATCACGAAAGAAAGTTGTTTTTCAATTGTCGATAATTAAAAATAACACAATATCCTCTTATATTCATCGATTATCTCTAATGCTATTCAAATAATTCAACAATAATTTCGATAACAATATAGAATTGGACATGAAAATTGTGTAAGCGTATACTGTTTCCAACTCTACTAACTATACACTCTTTAATTGATGTCCAAAATTACACAATACTACAATTATTTCTTCAATTAGAATCAATTATTTTAAAATGAGAAAGACAACTATATTCCTCATGTGATTGACCAATATTGCGTGGCCTTTAATGTTAAAGAATGGCCAATTGAAGAATATAATACACGTAAAAATTTAATCAAGATTAATATAGTTATTTGGTTTGGGTCATGTATCTTTTACTCAAATGAAAAGCAACAAAAGCAATTGAAATAACTCTTCGAACTACCAACAACACGTTTAGTATGTTAAAATAAATATTATTAAACAAGACAAGTCGAATATAAATATTTGAATTAGATACCACTGAATATAATCAAAGATGAGATGCATATGACATAAATTATGAAATCTCACATAGAATTGTATTCAATCCAATGTGTTTTAAACGCACTTACTTTTTGATACAATTTAATTTAGGGATAATTGCAGCAGTGGTCCCTAATCTTTCAACTTTTTGCAGACTTTACTATAATCTTCACTTTGTGCCAGCCACAGTTCCAAACCTTTCAAAAATTCGCACTTGGGTTCCAAATGGATGGAAATCATCCATCTTGCTGTTAGCTGACCAAAAAATTCAAAATTTGATCAATTTTGACTAAATGAAAAAGGGCAGAATGATACTTTACATTTTTTCCACATTAAATAATTAAAATAATTAAATAAGAAATTGAAAAAATCATCATCTTCCACAATTATCTTCTTCCACATTCTCGCCCAGCAACTTCCGGCCACCAAGATCGCCGGATATTGATGCCATTACAAAGCCCTCCATTCCCTCTTCAATTACCACAAAACTCTCATCCATTACAACTTCAAAATCAGATTCAGAAGAAATCAACACTCAAACTTCACTGCATGAAATTGTCCAAACTGTTGGAATCCCACATTTTGACAACCAACATGATTGCAAACCACCACAGGTCGATTACTCATGGCCAGATGACTCCAGCCATGTTCCCAATTTATGCCAAAAAGCCTCACAGCAGATCGAATTTGGATCAGAAGTTACGCCAGTCGCGAATGTCGCGCAGAATAGTCTGAACAATGACGATTCCAATTCTGCCCGACCAACCCCATGGTCGCGGACCACCTGGGGAACCTTTCTCTACCTTGGCGCACCCAACCCACATGAGTCAAGCTCAATTGCAGCCCAAACTCATTGAATTTATGGATGAAGTTCAGGCGCTGTGAGAAAAATTCATCGCGTTGTCCGCCTCAATCGTTGCTGCTCTCTCCAAAATCGAACCCAAAATTTGAAATTTGAAAAGGAATTAGTCAAAAATTGCTTCCTCGATCGAACAGCGGTGAAGAAATTGGAAAGGGAAAACGTCTGGCGGTGATGGCTAGATAGTTTTCTGGTTTTGATTAGGTGAGGTGGGGTGGAAAAGAATTTGGGTTTATATGTAATTATTTCAATTATTTAGAGCATATTTGGGAGCAATTAATTCCCAATTTTAATGGAAAATGTGAACGTTGCAACAGTAGTGCATAGTTGGTGGAGCCGCAATATTTGAAAAATCCAATGGCAGGTGACTTTTTGAATTTTGAAATGTCAAAATTGCCTAATTTATGAAAATTGATTGCAGCCAATTAGGGACATTATGGTCTTTTCACTGACTTTTTTTTATTCACTGCCTGAACCAAAGTCAGAAAAGGCTACCCAAGTGGGGCCCTGCGCACTGTATAACGGTCGATTTATTTATTAAAATTTTCTCAGAATGGCGTCCAAACAGGCCCTTAATGTGAAAAATGTAAAATACATGTCCTTTTTCATTTGGTCAAAATTGATCAAATTATGAATTTTTGGTCAACTAACGGCAAGATGAATGGTTTCCATCCATTTGGATCTCGTGTGAATTTTTGAAAGGTTTGAAACTATGGTTGGCACAAAATGAAGATTAAGATAAAATCTACTAAAAATCAAAAGGTTAGGGACTGTTGCAATTATCCCGTTAATTTATCTAACGTGGGTCAAGTACTCAAGTCAACTTTCAATAAAACCGTCTCTTCATATGAAAAAGTATTTCTAAAAACCCTTTAATTTATCTAATGTGGGTCAGGTCAACTTTCAATAAAACCGTCTCTTCATATGTAAAAGTATTTCTAAGAACTAGTCCATGGTTGACCATTCTTTCTTAACTTTAAGCCGACTACCAAGTTGAAGCCGACACAATTTGAAACTTTCTTTATAATTATTTGACTAGTCAACTCTGATTACGTAGTCCATAGAGACATGACTAGGAATGCTTCCAAGGAAACTTGAAAGTATGTACTAAGGAGAACGTCAACATCCTCAGCAAGTCCTATATATATACACACATATAGAGAGAGAAATACACACAACAACACACAGCCTTTCTCTCTCTGTAAACTCCAAGAAATAGAGTATATATTTTGTTACATATAGAGAAAGAGAGGAATTGAATGGGGAAATATGTGGAGATGTTGGATTTAGGTGTGAGAATAGCAGCCAGATTTCATTCCCACTGCCCACAAACTGCCCGATTGTACTACCACCCACCATCCAACTCCGGCAGCCACCACGACAGCGGCCTCAACCAGTTACAAAATGGCGGCAGAGGCGATGCACTGAATAACCAAGATTCAACTGATCATAAGGCTAATAGTTATCGTGACAAGACTTCCATTAGTTTTGATGTTACTGAAATTTTTGTTTATTCTTTGGTTTGAATATAGAAGAACAAAAAATTGAATGGTTAGATAATTATCTTCACATTCATATTATTTGTTAACACAAATATTTTTTTTTTTTGTATTTTTTTTTCTTCAGATTAAATGATTTACATCTACAAACTATGAGCCTGTTTGAACCATATTTTTATTGAAAAAATGTGTGGTTAAAAAATAAGGAAATTTTTTGAGTATAATATTATTTTATTGAAAAATGTATGGTTGAAAAGAAAAGAAAGAAAAACGCATTTTGGAAATACTGAAAATCAAACAAAAGCTATATACGATCAGAGGGGCATAATCATCTTAATTAAAGACTATTGTATTGTCCATAATATTTGAATCAAATACCTCTAGATATATATAATTAAAGAAGGGGTGCATTTGATAGAATTTATGAAATCTCACATGGAATTGTGTTCAATTCAATGTGTATTAAACACACTTACTTTCTAATAGAACTCAATTTATTTCATGAGGGTTGTGTGAACTTTTCAATAAAATCTCTATAACGTCTCTTAATATGAAAATAATTATGAGACGCTAGTCCATGGTTGACCATTCTTTCTCAACTTTAAGCCAACTACCTGGTTGGAGCCAACACAATTGGAAACATTCCAATAATTATTTTACAAGTCAACGCTTATTACATAGAGACGCGACAAAAAATGTAGCTTTACATTTAAATGAATTTTTTTATATATATATCAAGTAATTGTCACTTAAACTGATGCTCATCACCAATGGAGATAATAACATTACTCTTCCTATATACACAAATATAGAGAGAGAAACACACGGAACAACACATAGCTTCTCTATAAACTTCAAGAAAAAAGTGTGTACATATGAGAGAGAAGAATTGAATGGGGAAATATGTGGAGATGTTGGATTTAAGAGTAAGAATAGCAGCCAGGTTTCATTCCCACCACTGTCCACAAACTGTCCGACTGTACTACTACTACCCTCCGTCCAACTCCAGCAGCCACCACCACTACCACGACCACAATCGCTACCTCGACCAGTTACATAATGGTGATGGCAGAAGCCATGTACTGAATTATTCAGATTCAACTGATCATATGGCTAGTAGTTATGTCGACAAGACCTCCATTAGTATTGGTGTTATTGGAATTTCTATTTATTCTTTGGTTTGAATGGATAATGCTATTTATTATCACGATGACGAAATATCGATGACATGACAACCTATTATCCCTCACATTCCTTTCTCTCGCTCTCATGAAAATTGAATTGCCCAATCTCATTATTCCACATAGACTGCCTTATCACTAATGTTTCATTATCATGATGAGAAATAATATTATTCTTTGAATATAGAACAAAAAATTAAATATTGTTAAGAGAATTATCTTTACATTCGATATAATTTGTATTTTACGAGGCTAGAGTATATCGTAATGTGTAGGTCCAAGATCTACATCTGTCAAACATGTTCGATCATACAACATTATACACCATCAGAGGGGCATAATCCTTGTAATAACTAAAGCTCTCCGTCATCAGTACGAGTTTAAACTATGGGTTTTATTGAGAGCATTAAAAGTACTTTCTTTTCGTTAAAACTTCTTTTCCCGAGAGAGCAAGTTTCGTTTGTTAGAAAACAAGCAATGGACAGCTGTGGAGCAAGCAATTATTAGCGCCGTTTTCTTAAGTTTTAACCTTACTAATATAGCTAAAGGTCCTAATCTCAGTATGCACGAGACTAGAGGTGTCAAGTGAATTGAGTCGAGCCAATATGTCCCATAGTTTGCATCGCAAGCTAGGACCGGCATACTAAAATATTCCATGTATGCCCACCGAGCCAGACCACTTTATGTCTCCATTGTAAAATCAAGGCAGTGCAATGTCATTTTTTCACATCCCACCAGGCTTTCAAAAACCAGAAGACAACGCTGGTAATTCTTAATTCTTAAAAAATGGAAAATATCGTAGGAGAATTTGATGGTTACCTTAATATAGTGAAACAGTACAAATATTTCATCGAGTCCATTATACAAGAGTAGATAACAACCTTATAAACTAAATTCGAGGACATTGTTTCAAAATATGAATATCTGCAAGCATATCAAGTCCCAAATATCCATCCTTTTAAACTGATTATGAAGTCCTTCAATAACACAAAAGGTGGATCACGTTCTATGTTGGAGCAATAAGTTAATTAAAACCTCACAATTTCATTTGGCCAGAACCTCCTCTGAATGACCCATAAAGCGGTCGAGATTTCCTGAAGCTGAAAATATCTTCTATACGAATGCTGTTTGATTCGGCAGTTTCACTATTGTCTGACTTGTACTCAGAAGAATGTGCACTACCATAGACTCGCACGCTCAACCCCTTCTTTTGTGGGACGCCAACTTTAATATATTCATCGAAGAAATCTATCAGTTCTTTTTGAGTCAGCTGCTTCAGCGCTGCAACCTTTTTCATCAAATATGAACACCACAAATTTATGTCAGTATTAGCACATAAATGCTTGTTTCGAAAAGGTCTAGTTCTAAGTAAATTTTATGTCATTTGCAAATATATAATATATTCAGATTCAAGATATCCATCAAACTCACGATTTACAAACATTGATTTGAGCATTAGTATATCGGTCTTCATACCTCACATTCTCTCCTATCAAATTTAAGGGTCCCATCAGATATTTCCCTCCAGTAGAACCCAGATTCTTCTCGTAAATTTTTGTGCTTCTCAAGCTTCATATCAATAAGTGCATTAACGTTGCTCTGCATCATATACAGATCAGAAATTGAATGTTAAGTGACCAGGTTTTCTGTAAAATAAAGCATATATGAACACATTAGTTCTAAACATACACATTTCCTAAAAGGTCCAGACAGAGGACGCCAAACAAGATTGCTTATATGAAAATTGAAAAGGAACACAAGACAGCACATCTCATAGCACTTGGGAAATTCCAACAAAATTGGACAAACCAAAGAAAAATTTCCCCCCCAACATAGGCTCAGCCACATTTAAATGGACAGAAGCTTGAAATCTAACACGCCACAACTTTAGTAAAACAGAATATGCATTGCAAAAAAATATTATTTCGTTTGGAATATTGTGAACTGCATGATAGATAAAAGTAGTCAGTTAACACGTTTCATTAGCCTCATATAGTGGCTACACCTAGTTGTCTCCTAGAAATTTGGGTTAAACCAGGTTCATGGAATGAAAAGCACATGGACTATTCTACCGAAAGATTATGAAACTACACAAATACAACAGGAAAACACTGTAGTAGTAGAAGTTAGCCTGACATTCTATTGCAACCATATAAGAAATGTAAGGTTCTCCTCTCAGTTTTCATTTGACGTTTTTCTTTTCAGCTTTGTTTAAGTTTATCTAGCTGAATCTCTATTTCCCTTTCCATTATAAATCTGCCATCCTTGGTTTTATACCATTCATGTGTGGCAGGCTTTACAAGTTGTGAACAGACGCAAAAACATTGAACTGAAGGATACACCAATCTATATCTGCTTCCCTTTTTATTTTTTCTTCCCACTTGACAGTTAATGGTGTTGCTTATTTGAAATATGTCCTGACCTCATCTCACTATATTACGGGGATCATCCCTTGGTTTAATAACTTCGTAAGCGTAGCTCTTATGAAGGATCCTTCCAATCAACGAGGGCCACACAATAGTGAGCAAGGCTGCAAGTGCGTATAGCCATTTCTCACAGTTTACTCAAAAAGTACTTAATTGATGCCATGGTACAGGTAGAAGGCCATAGGGTCATCAACATCCGGAGGAATGCAATTTATAGAATTGTTTAAAGTGTACCTTAAATTCATCACTGGGCATCTCATAGAGCTTAGTCTCAAACATCTTGAGAAAAGACGCAACTCTCAAATCAAGTTGTCCAGGGCCCTGTCAAGCTCAACAAAAGGGGAACAGATCAGCACTAGATTCCAGAAAAGGTTAATAAAGCTTTGTATATATCACAGACAAAGACGGTGAGACACAGATGCAAATAGAGTGAGATGCATGTTTGCTCTATTTGCATCAGTCGAGTTATTTATACCTTTACATTGGATTGGATGATAATCTGCACACCACGGACCCCAGAATCATACCTAGAGCAAAACAAATATTATTTTTTTTTATGAGGTACGAGGAGCAAAAAAAAGGAATCTGAAATGGAGGAACATGGATAAGATGAATTTTCACCTACCTCTGCATAAGTACAGTAACGTAACCAAGTTGCTCGACGGATCTGAGCTGGTGGAAAGCAGGCTGCTTTGCTATGAGAGCAAAAAGCTGGAGTTTAACATTCAACTTGAAATCATCCTGATGCACCTATATTTAAATATTTAAACGGTCAAAACCTTTGAAACTATAAGATAAAATTCTAGTTGAGAGAAAAGAAAAGGTTTGATGATTGTCAGAAAATGCATAAAACAGAAATTTTTTCTGGAAAAATCCAATTAGTACATTTCATTGATATTTCGAGAATCCTGATATAATTAAAAATATCTTCCTAAATTCTAACTTGGGCATCTTCTACACATTGCTCCTTCATCTGTCAATACTCATGTGCATGTCCTAGTATAAATATTGAATATCTGTACCTTAACTCTGTGCCTTATTTTGAAATGATATGACGAATCAACTTAGGGACACAGAAGCACGATGAATATTTTCCTTGATGTGTGCTATCTTTTTGTTTCTGGTGTGGGGGGTGGGGGTACAAAGGGGTTTTAGGACAACAGAAGAAAGCGTCCCTTTAAATAGTAGAGTATCACTATAGTAAGGGTGTGAAACTCACTTCCAAACACAATCTTAATACAACATATCAATTTACAACAATTCGTTGAACATGATAAATAGTAAGTGAGTTCAAAGAAAAATGATATCACTGTTTACCAATGAGTGTCACGAAGAAAGTATTTGCCCAAAGCAGCTGTTCATAGATTATATACATAGTTAGAAGTATAGGCTAGTTCAAATTAACTACGACTGCTAACATTTTGACTGACGCAGGGACAGACAATATGAACTAAAAGTAAGTTCTATCCCTCTGAAACTATTCCATTAGGGTAGCAGAAAGAGAGCACTAATCTTGAAAAATCCAAACACATTCGTAGAAGGTGGTTGTACTTAATGATGTAGAGTACGAGACAAAGTGTTTATACCCTTGAAATGTTCATATGTTCGACCACCATCCAGTAATCTATTTTTATCAAACCAACCATATGCTTAAAACCTATATGGGAACCTCCCTGGCAGCTAGAACATAGAAAGGATTCAACCATTCCTTTGGATACAAATTTCGAGTAGATTACGTGTGAGTATCACATAATATCTGGTCATGCAAACAAAAAATAACTTTAAAAGCTAAAGTATGTGAATTAGTAGTTAAAGGATGTTATATAAACAAGACAAAAAATCAGTCTGTCTAGTGTGTGAATTGTGGAAAATAGTTTAAAGAAAATTCTACTACATTTCTTCCTATTATATTAACCTCCGATTTTATGCCATACCTGAATGTAATGGATAAGGGCAGAATTTTCGTCACTTGGATTTAGGCCCTCAGCACTGTAAAAGTAATGTATGCCCCTTTCAAGATTAACAACTCTCTTCGTCAAGTGCTGAGATGCAAATAAAGCCTGAGAGATAGGGCGAGGACTCTTGAAAAAAATATCTTCAATATGCTGGATCATTGACTCTGCTTCATTTGGTTCGATGTTTCCTAAATAAGTAAGGTAGAAATGGTGAATAGAGACAATTCAAGAAGACAGAGTTGAAAGCAAAGAAAGAGCTAAATTAGAACCTGCTACATAGCATTCCAGAAAGGTCCTTGATAGCATCAGGGGATAAAATTTAACAAGATTATCAGCTTCTAGATGCAGAAGAACTTCAAGTTCATCATACCAGGGCCATGTTTGATCTTGTAGTATTAACGAGCAGTAGTACATAGCTTGCTGATATGGCTGTTGGAACTTCACATTCTGATATTCCTTTGTGACCAGTTCCTATTGGATGGCAAAACAAAATGTGAAAAACAAAAAAGAAGACAATTATCTTTTTTGATCGAAAACAATTTCAGAAGAGAACTAATTTGGTGAATGCTTATTAAATAAATGATCACACCGACTGCAAAGACATATATTTTCCAAAAAGATCAAGAAAATGTGGAATTTACCCACAAAACCACCTTTCTAATAGGGAATGTCATAGTAGGATGCTTCCTTGAAATAAGATTATTCACTTGTGCACTTCGAGTGAATTTTTGAATGAATGCATGGTTACGCCCCTTAGGTGCCTCTCAAACAATGATTTTACTTATTAACAAGATAAGAATAGTTCATTCAGTTCAACAATTAAAAATATAATTTAAAGGTATTTTAAAATCTTTCAACTGTTACAAACTAGACAGGAAACTAAACTCAAAAACACTGGCCACAATACACAGTAGAAATATATCTACAGTAATTTATTTAAAATTTCTAATTATTTATGGCAAATGGAAAGGAGGCCAAAGGTATTGTATACCTACTTTACATGCGATATTAATTAATTTCTAGAAGTCATAAAGGTTCCATATGCTGCATTTGCTAAGCTGAAAAACAAGACAACAAATTGTCCAAAGGACAGGGATTTTCTAACATAACAAAATGCCATTTTCCAGAGCAACACAATATAAGGTTCATTTGCTTCCTGTAAGGGGGATATTCCAAGTTGTTTTACCTAACACGTTAAACATAAAATGGGCAAAAATGAAAATTCTCGTCTTAAAAAACTCTATGAAACTGTAAATATTTCATTAATTGAACATTATTAAATTCATCATGAAACTATGCCACAGACGTTGACAAACAACCAGGAAATTATAGATAGTTATTGTCAAGAAGTTTGACATCCTCACACAAATGATTACAATTTGATGTAGAAACAAATACAGTGGAACCAATGTGCATGGAACTTATTCATGCCTATCATAACCAAACCGAAAAAATAAAGGATGCACAGTATTAGACCTCGTTTACTATCTGATAATAAGTACATGAACTCGATATATTTTCAAAATATCACAATGATAGAGTTCAACCTTACCTTGATAACAGAAAACCTGTCAGGTTTTACTTCGAAATTTGCAATTCTTTCAATTACGGTCTCCAGTAAGATCTTCAATTTGTGATTGTATCCAAGTACAGTGACCTGAAAGAGGAATAATATGATGTAAAAGAAAAGAACATCTTGTCAATCAGGAAAACTGGCAGTAAAAGAAATTTACTATAGAAGTGCTCAGAAAACTAAAAGAGAGGAGAAAAACTCTATAAACTGAATTGAGATAGGTGGCTGATTCTGGTTAGAATTTGTGACTTGTATAATAGAGTAAACTACATCACAATAGTCGTGTCTGACTACATGATGTTTGAAGATTCTGCAACAGAAACATAAAAGGATGCTGAAATTTTAAACTTGAGAATAACTTAACGATGATAATCTAAGCTTTATTTTCAATAAATTTGAGATGCTGGCCACAAGTACCCTTTTTTTTCACTATTTTGTTCGTTTGGTTCATTACTACATCTACTGGAAGATCCAACACAGCAAATACTGAACATAATAGATACGAGGCGTACAAATCCACATAACTCTCACATGACAATAAGCATTCATACCATCTGAGACACATAAAATCATACTAGTATTCACAAAACCGTGCACAGTTGGTCCTCGCTTATACTTTTTTAATGATGACCAGAAAAGACTAAATAAAAATTCATTGGGCATACCCCTGGCTCCGAAATATTCATACAATTTTATTGATCTCAAAAATAATCATCCAGACCGTTTACACTACTCAACTAATACACCATTAAATCATTCTAGATATCATCTGTAAGTTATGCACAATATGCTGATTCTTGACTAAACATTTTTAAACTCCAGATGTGCCAATAAAAGAAATACCAATCTTCATCCAAGTGAGTACTACATAACTACTGTCACATGACTACCATTCAAACACAGGTTAAAAATTTGAAATGGATAGGATATTTGTGTCTACGGTAGTGGTAGTGGTACAACTGGCAGGAGAACTGGGGAAGTGCAAGAGAGATTGTAACAAGGGAGCCCAGAGGAAAGGAATGGTTGGGTTAAGAAATTGACTTGGGATTTGTTTTGTGTATGTCGGTCACACAATGATGAGCTCTCATGGAAATGTTGGTGAAGCTACAGAATGAGGGGCCTGGGTTAGCAGTGAGCTGCAAAACAACTAAATTTAGAGGCTGAAATCAACTCTGAGTTGACTGCAAAAAATCCCAAGTTAAAGGCTGTACATAATATCCATATGAGAACAAATCTGAATATATGTAATTCCTGATCTGTTTTGAATTTATGAACCAGAAGAGTAGAAGAGCAAGACATTGGGTTACATAATCAGAATTGCCATGGGAATGTGTTGACACCCCCTTTCCCCAAAAAAAGGTAAAATAAAATAAGATGTCCAATAGCTTTGCACAATTGCACCATTTGGCAACAGACAGTCAAAATAGTTCTTGTCAGAATTCAACCAATTCACATGGTGAACATATTCCCAGGGAATCCACATTAGTTGTTTTCAAATATTTCATCTGTTACGGGGTTAATTTTGACAATCACTGAGCCTTTGGCTTTAATCTCTCTCTCAACTAGATAAAATGAATACCCAAACATGATGAATACAATATTTGGTTGAGTTTTGAGTGCTGTATCACTATCACATATAAATGATATGAAAGGAAGCACTGAACAGAAATGAGAGCTGGTGTTCTATAATTATCTAGCATCTAATTTCCAAAACTCGAAACTCGCTCTTCTCTACTTCTATCTATAATTTCAAACACTCATGAATGCCCTAAATATCAGCACTTCTTAACTTAATGGTAGTTAATACCTTCACAAAGTATGACAAGTTATTGAGAAAGTCCCATCTTGAAAAATGCTCAATATAGTGCAGCAAACTCAAGGAAAATGTAAGATACAATCTATAAAGATATTTAAAAATCAAATGAGCACAACGGCTCAAAAGAATACACATATATAGAAAGAGAGAAAATGTGTACCTGAAAACCATAGTCAGTGTTGCTAACTCCATAATAAAGACCAGCAACCTGTGCATCGTAAGCTGAAATATGCCAGAAAAGTAAAAAGGATTTCTTTAAGAACTTTTGCAAGGGAAAAATGTCAAGGCGAGATAATGAATGCACAACGCAATAACTCGATCCATCATAGTTGGGAATCTGATGTAGGACAATCCTATTGTAAATAGGATTATGATTATATATTTATAATAAAATGTCTAGTTGTAATAAATTTTATCTTTTATCCTAATATTTTGTTTAGAATAAGATTTCTTTTCTTTATAGATTAGAATAGGATCTCTAATTTCTTTTAGATTAGGATTTTAGTTTATTTCCTTTTAGAATTTAATTTCCTTATATTAATAGGATTAGGGAATAGTTTTGCCTATAAATACAAAGGCATTGTACATTTTTTCAACATAGAATAGTTTTGGCCATAAATACAAATGCATTGTACACTTTTCAACAACAATCAATTATTTTTAAATATATACTAGACATGATTGTTCAAATATCATTTTTATTTGTTACATAATTCTTATTACAAGAATTTCATAAACGCTTCCACACCAGAATCGCTAAAAAATCTCTTCAATCAAGAGAACGGTTAATCAACACTTTAATAGTCATAGAGCATAATTTCCCATCACTCTCAGGGACTTACCATATTCATTTAAGTAGTCCATCAACAAGCGCGTAAAAATTTCTGTAATCACTTCAGATTCGGGTGAACTTCCAGTAAAGGGACAATTGAAATCTATCTTAACATATGCCTTGGGAGAAGAAAATGCCGTATCTGGCTTGTACCACAACCTTGAATATGTTGATTTTCTCAACAAACATGGAAGTGCCATCTGATCCAAGGGTAAAAATATTAGATAGCTAAAGCATTCGTCCCATGTATGTGAAAACTATTGAATTCAGAACTGCATTTGAGTAAAATATAATGTTGATTTACTTTATCCGAGACATTCTTAAGAGACAGGTCAGTAGGAATGAACACATTAGGGGCAGGCAGATGTAGATGTTCATTAAGTGCGCTCTCCATCCATTGCTGCAAGCCAGTAAACATTTTAGCAACCGACTAAGTGAATCATTTAACTTCATAGATATAATCCATGAGAGAAGAACAACACAAGTAGACAAGCAACAGACCTCAATTGTGGAACCAGTTAGTTTCTCTACAGAATATGCAGTTCCATACCAGGGTTCTGTCAAGTCAGTTAGTCCTTCGAACTTAGTTGACTCCCAAAATATTCTGTTGAAAATAAATATTAAGTAAAGCTAATGAATAAATCTTCAGATAGCTAATCCATGAAAATGGGAGGTCAAAAGAATGACAATACCACCAGGCATCTTCAAATGAGCAAACTGTATTTCTACATAAACTCGTAACCAAGAAAAGGAATCCAAAGGGAAAGGCTAGGGAGTTCAATCTAGAAGTGGTATTCAGACACAATAATTATATGAACTCTAAAAACAAGAGGCAGGCACCGTGACAACATATATACCGTGACTTGCAGGGCAACCAACTTAGAGCTTGTTTGGGAGAGATTTTTCCAAGTGAAAAATGATATTTTTGGAGAATGTGTGGTCAAAAAGTAGAGATAAGTTATTGGTCATATAAAATATGTGGTTGAAATGATTTTGTGAAAAATGTTTTTCAAAAAAATCAATCCCAAACACCATGCAAGCCTTATATTCTACAATTAAAATAAAGAATCATAGGGTTCTTTTATCAACAATCATCATTTATGCCTTCATTACAGACTTGGCTAAATGCATCAAAAGTGGTTCATATCCAAATAAACTAATTGAACCTCCAAATCAAGTGTATATGGAACAGAAAAAATATTATAGTTCGCATTTTTCTTAATTTTTTGTGTAAAATGACATCTATTGTACTCGAAAATATTCAGAACAAGCATTTTTAACAGTTTTTGTGTAAGGATCTGGAATATAACATGGAACTCACCTGACATTGTGTGGAGTGAGCTCTTTCAATGCTGTCTCGATAATGCCTGGATTGAAGTTTGAAGGCAAAGATGAACCCACCAGCCAATCTTTTGGAGGATAGAACTGAATTATGATTTTACAGAAATTACAGACACAACTATTAGCCAACCAAAAGATATCTGATTACTGGTATATAAATTCAATGCCACAAAGAGGAATCTATTAGGAAAATATTTGATGGTCAAAAGATGATACAAGGAGGAATTCAAAGATAATAAGATTAAATTAAAGATCCATTATACAGGGTATGCAGATCTAATCATACAAGTTCATTGCCACAAGAAAATAAAAAACTGCAAAGAAAACTGTGCATAATATCTATTAGTCAATAGTCATGAAGATCATTAACCTACCTAGAATGTTAGCATGGTTTTAGGCAGAACACGAACCAAGTATTTGTGAACAAGTAAGTGTTAGGCTCATTCACCTCAATGAACTCACGAAGTAGTAATTATGTTTTACATTTTGTACAATCGTCTATTCAGTAAATTTCGACATTTTTCATGGAATTTATCCATTACCATACGTGCATATCACCAAAATAGTAATAAAAACTTTACGAATCATTATTGATAAAATAAACTAATCATCTGATAATATGAACAGAGAACCACACGTCATTCAATTGTAACAGAGTACGAGTATTCAGCTGTATTTTAAGACATGTAACTGCCTCTAGCAACAAAGACATTATTTAAATTACCTGCATATTTAGCGCTACATCAACCACATAATCTGAAGGCCGTATCTTGTCCTGATAATGGAAGGCAGTCTCACAAATGGCTGAAAGCTTCATGGACAAATTGAAAAAGGAAATAGATTTTAAACTCTCAGGAAAACGGTCTAAAGAGAACTCTTAACAAAAGTATTGGCTTATAAATCAGTGATTAAATATAGACGCTAGAATGCCTTTAAAATCGAACTACATAACATGCTACCATTTCTATTACCAAATGTTATAAAGAAATAACAGCATTCCTGCAGACAGAAAACAGTCTTTCTTTAGTTTTAATCAAAAGTAACTCCACAGGAAATAAATTGATACTTAACAACATGGATGCTTACCTAAGAAAATGAGAACTTGACTAAAACGCTTATACCATTTAATGAATAGAAAAATCTTCGACAATCAGCAATTTATATTTGTTTTCTCTCAGTAAATTATTTTTCCATCACGTGTTGGATTAACACCAGTTAATACCACCACTTTAAACTTTCATTATCAGTATTAGTCAGGGAAATATTTAGACTTTTGCAAAAGAATGGTGATTAATTTTGATCCAGTAAAATCTCTGACTCCAAATAATATATCTGACCTGAGTATATTGACACATTAACTTAATGAAATTTAAGTGCATAAATGGTATTTATGAAAGTCGAAGAACAGAACATCTTAAAAGTGCTATAGGCAATGTAAATATTTGTTAAATGAAAAAGAGAGGATTTGGCCCTTCAAGATAAGTCCATTACTATCTTCGAAGGTAAAACAATTGATTTCGAACAACTGCATTCTAAGGTGAAAACACACGCTTGTCAATGAGATTGTCCATACACAAAAGGAAAAAAGACACTCGTCAATGAGATGGTTCACACATAAAAAAAACAATAGGTTTTAAAGCTAACTCATTTCCATTCTGAGTATTCCATATTACCAAACTGAGAAGATGCATCTAATACCTTCAATAACTGGATGATCCACGTCTCTAACAGATGCAAACCTATATATACGTATAAATTTTTTATGTTCCATCCATAGGACACATAATTGAGCTGAAGAAAATGTATTTGACTTAATCTGGTTTGGGATTTTCAAGATGTTATTTCCTATTCCTTGATTTCAGATGAAATTCTAGCAAATATGCAGTTGCACGCCATAAGCAAGTGCGAATACATATCTCCTATACCTTTATGTAACGTCCCGAAATTTTACTAACAGTTGTTAAATTTAAATTTAGTTTTTAAGTGCGCTATTATTAGTGTCTAATGACCTTATTGGTTATTGGTCAACAGTTTGAGGACCCAAGTAGAGAGTTATTTTGGAAGTCAGATGAAATCACGCGTAAAACAAATGTAAAAATGCCGGTCGGTCTTGATTAAAAATGATTTATTGACCACATGCACTATTCACACCACATGTCAAGTCAATGCAGGTAAATAAAGGTAATTGATTTAACCACATGCATTATTTACACCAAGTTTTAAGCCAAATCAATTGATTTGACCACATGATTAAAGGTATTGATTTGACCATTTTCATGACAATACATCATTTATGCATTGAACATGCCTAATATCTAGCAATTTCCTTTCACATTTCTACACATGGTCCAAAAGTTTACACAGTAAATAGGAGACAAACCAAACACTAGACTACCCTCACCAACTATTTACACACTTTCCATCTCACTCTATCACTTTGTCTCTCCGCCTTTCTCTTTCTCTTGTCCTTTTTATATTAAATATAATCATACACTTACACGTGAATACTCAACCCCACACGTGTGTGACGGATCGCAAGGTGATGTCCTAAAAATTAGCATGGCACAGGGATGTCACCTAAAATGGTGGGGAAATGACTAATATCCGTGGTGGCTGGTTCATGTCCAGGTCATGCCTAGAAAATTCGGGTGTGACTGCAGTCACTGCGACACAGGCAGTCATCGCAGGCAGATTGCAGGCAGCTCCCAGGACATCGCAGGCAGATTGCAGGCAGCTCCCAGGACGCAGCCAGGACATGGCCAGACACAGACTGCAGTCGCGTCACGACGCAGGCAGCGCAGCAACACAGATTGCAGGCTGCCTGACTAAAGCAGTGACATGGGCGCGACATGGGCAGTAAATCCCAGCATACCAGGTGGTTTTCTGTAGGAAAATACTATGGGCAGATTGCTGGGATATTTTGGGAAGACTTGTCCAAGTTGGTTACTTAACCCACTTGCAAGGGAATGGCCAAGGAAGGAAGAGAAACTCAACTTGATGACTATGAAAGGGACATAATTCCCATGGGATTTTTGAAGGAAGAATCCACTTGCAAAGAAGTAAAGTCCAAGTTTGCTTCCACTTGGTCTAAGGAGGTTTAAGGCAAGTTGAAGCCAATGGGGACCCTTGGATGGGGATTGATGAGGATTGATCCTAGCCATTAAATCTAAGGAGGTTTACATGGGATTTGCCTATAAATAGGGATGGAGTCCCATTGTAATTTATTAGATTGGATTAGATTGGAATCCATTAGAATTTCAAGTAGTTTATGTGAGTTGAGAGAATTGTTGGAAGGCATGCAATTTATGGGATTCATGCTATTCATATAATTCTTAGATCACATTGTATATTACATTGGTGTGGAGTTTTTATTGAAAGAGAGATTTTCTCCCCAAACTTACTTGTTCTCGATATTGTCTTTACTTCAAATCTCATACTCAAAGTTTGTCTTGATTTAGCCTACAAGGTTGAATCATTTTGGGGGCGTCGAAAGGCTGACTTAGCGCTTTCTCGTAGGGACGGGAATTGTGTTGCGTTAAGGCCGCACGGTGTCTAGTTTTTCTAGTGTAAGAAATCTAGTCCCGTGACAAGTGGTATCAGAGCGAGTTCGTCAAGTGATAAGTTGTTATCATGACGGATCCACAACAAACTTTGGAGGTTGAGGAAAGGGGACGTGGTGTTGCCCCAAGTGAAGCAAAGAAGACTCGGAGCAAGAGTAAGGCGCGGGAGGCGATTGTCATGGAGGGCAAGCTTGATCCAATCATCGCAAATATGGGTGATAGGATCGAATCTCTTGAAAATTCCTCGGAGGCGTTGGAGGAACACTCCTTTGGAAAGTTAGAAACTCTCCAATCTAATGTCCAAGAGGTGTTGGACGTACAAGCATCATTGGAAAATGATGTCCGAACGGTGAAAGGCAATGTCCAAGCTGTGGTAGCTCGACAAGCCGTGATGACGGAAGATTTTGGTAGACTCCAAGCCAAACTCTTAGATGCCGTGTCCGCCGTACAAAGTCAAGGAAATCAATCATCCTTGATGATGGAGAGAATGAGCAAAGAGCTTGAGCAATACAAAAATTCTACCGCTAGTTCAAGCGGAGGTGCCGCTACTAGTGTTGTTGCGTCAAGGATCGAGTATCCAAAACCAAAGAATTATGACGGACGACGTGATGCCTCGGAAGTGGAAAATTTCCTATGGCAAATGGAGGTCTACTTTGAAGGCGTTAATCTTATGGAGGAGTCCATGAAGGTGCGGACCGCTTCAATGTACCACTCGGATGTTGTGGCGTTATGGTGGCGTCGTAAGCATGGAAGAGATCTCATATGTTGCAAAGCTAGAATATCATTCCACATCCAACGAACACCGTCACAATGAATGAACAAATGATCGATCGTCTTTCCATTCCTCTTACACATATAGCACCACTCCATAATACAATAGCCCTCTCTTTGAAGATTATCCGCCGTTAACACCCGTCCCCTCACCACCGTCCATAGTAAAAAAGCCAAACATGGAGGTAATTTACTTTGCCAGGGGAATGAACTCTCAACAGGTTCCATAAGGATCTGAAATAAGTACAAACAGAGAACAAACCATTATGTGCCGCCCTCCACCTGCTACAGTCATCCTCCCCTACCTGAATGTGCACATCATACAGCGAGGCCAAAAATAATGCATAGTCATTCAGTTCTCAATCATGTAAGTCCCTCCCGAAAGCAATGTTCCAACTAGGATTCCCATTAGATAGCCATAGCATCACTCACCATAGCTGAAGGCTCCAAGGCAATGCAATGTAAAGAAGGAGACCGCACTTTTAATGTTTGATCTCCACACCAACAATCGTCCCAAAATCTGCTATTCGTCCCGTTCCCTACCACAAAAGTCAATCTATTCTGAAAGTCGCTCCATCCTTTCCTGATGTACTTCAACAA